CCCACACCAAATTGTGTTTTAAAATGTATTGTATAGGCTAGCAGTTGTGCAATCATACCACATACAAGTTAAGAGTACTTTTATTATTATAAGGTAAATTAAGTTGTTTCTGTAGAAAATATTCGTCGATAGACTAACCCCCTGCCTTCATGACTATCATCAAAAATATCCGATGTTAACAACTTACCATAAACCACAGGATTTATGGTTCACATCTTGTACTTGAAGCATTGGGGGGGGGGGTAAGGTTACAAGCTCGCCCTGTACACTGACATATATGGAATACTAGAGTATCATTTTATGAGTAAAGAGACAAAATATTTGTGATTTATAAGAAATAGGGAAAAAGGTTATAGATATGGTTGATGTAGTAATGGCAATATTTGAAATTCAAGCATTTAGAGAAATCAAAGGATTTACTGGAGCAATTGAATACTATAGGATATTTATACATGCCTTTTTTGTGAATAGCTACTGCATTTATTGATCTAAGAAGTATGCAAGGTTCAGGTAGATGGAAGATTACCAGACCTACTTTGATGCCCAAGAAATTTAAAGTTCAAACATTAGAATTTGGGAAGACACTAGCTGAGTTTTAGAGAAAATGGAAACTAAAAGGACACTTATACTTAGAGACTGTTGACATTTCTAGGGTACATGAGGAAACAAGGCTTGGAAAATTTAATAATCATAAGACAAACTGAGGAACAGAGGAAAACAATGCATAACATACCTAGCAAGTTTGTGTCAATGGATGACAGAACAGGGTTTAGGAAATATAGCAAAAACAAAATTTATTAAAAGCTGCAAAGGACAGGGATTTGTGGAGAGCCATGATCACCAATGAGCTGAAGGGACACTGCACATAAAAGAATTGTTACACTGAAGATTTTTTTTTTTTTGTATGACTTGTTAAACAAAAGAAAAAACAGATAAGCAAGATTAGAGACTTTATTTGAACTGGAAAGACAAGGTGAAGATAAAAAACAAAATTGTTACATGAATAAGAAAATACAAAGAAATGAAGAAAATACCTGTTGTAAAAACAATTTATTGCATGATAAATTTATTTCTTACTTCACAGGTACAAAAGAATATACAAACTTTTTCATGATTGATTATTTTACCAAAGGAGGTTAAAAAAAACAAGTCGATAGTGGAGGGATGTGAAACTATGAATAGGTACCATTCCTCTATGTAGTGGCAGATCAACCACAGAGAATGAAGAGGGGTCATTTGAGAAAAGATGAACTTTGTAAATAATATCTAGGCCTGTGAAATTCAAGTAACAAGCCTAAAAAGGTTACTTAGGGCCAGAAGGAAAGAGAAAAAATAAAGTTCATAGGCTAATTAGTAAAAATTGTTAGGATGAGCCTTGCAAAGGCCAGAAACTGAACTAAAAATTGACCTGAGTAAAATGTGGCAAATTAGTAGAAATGTAAAGTTTAAGAGTCTTTTTATTTATTTTTGTTGCAATTCTGATCAGTTCAATATTGCCAAATTGGCAGCAGATCTTAAAAATGACATACAGTCTGTTGTTAACTGGAGCAAGGAATGGCTTGTTAATTTTAATGCCTCTAAAACTAAACTTCTCTTTATGAATCACCTGAAAAACCACTTCTTGCCTTCCATCAGCATGGCTGATACTAACCGCCTAAAGAGTGACTTGTTGCACCTTCTCAGGCTGACATGAAGTAGAAAAATTATATTGAATCCATTGCTAGGTCTGCTGATAAAAACGTTGGTTCATCGTACTGTGCTAGACAGGTTTTTTCTCTCCTGAATCTATCTTACATATTTACTCTCATTCATCCATGCCTTAAATACTACTTCCAGTTGTCCTGCTGTATATTTAGAGATTCAGTCACTTTCTCGCCACCATAATGTAGCATCCCTGTGCTTTTTCTATAAATACATTCCTGGTAATTGTTCAAATAAACTCTTCACTATAATATTTAGACTTTATGAATTTATGTGTAGTACTAGATTGGTAACTTCTTGTGTCTTAGTAGTTTTACTACTTTGCTTGGAGTGATATGATTTTAAAAATTGTTAAATGGCTTCATTTTGTCTTCCAATTAAACAGTCAATAGTATTTATAATCAGCACCTTTGGGACCCACAAATGTTTCAACTCACTTCACCTACAGACTTCTTCAGATCAAGAAAACTAACACATTGAGTGGTGAAAATGGGTAAGAGTTGCAGGCTTGAGAGGTGCATGTTCAGTTATACAACAACACATGCCTGCTGAATATTTAGTATTATGTTATTTTTTTTAATAGCTTCATATACAAAATAAAATCTCTTTCTTCTGAATGAGTACCAAAGCTGCATTTATTTTATTTTTTTTTTTTTAATGTGGTAATCATTAATGTGTCGTGGTATAATGGATTATAGCTCAGCAGTTTGAACTCTAGTCAGATTCTTTACATTCTCTTACAAGCAAATACTCTGGGAAAAGATATGAATCCATCTCTTCTCCTCAGCTATGGGTTGAATAGCAAAACAGACTGTATTCTATAGCCTTGGATGGCAACCTGTCTACCACAGATAGAAATAGCAGCCTACTGCTTGAGAATCTTGTTTAGTTAGTCATGAATCACAAGAGACATGATCGCCCAAGTGTGTATCATATATGGCACTAAACTGACTGACTAGTAATCACTATTCTAAAATGATATAGTACTGTCTTTCAGATTTTTACCTACATTGTCTGAAATATGGTTTCATTTTAAAATATTAATAGATTAATACCAATAAATAAGCTTGAAAATTTTTGTTTTCAATCCTCAGTTGTACATCTTTGTTATGCAAAGAATAAATTACACTTTGCTCAAGTTTCAAAATTAGTTGGTTTTTTTTTTTTTTTTTTTTTTAGTTTTTTAGGTGAGAAAGATCAAGCCCCAGAAAAAAGGCTTCCTGCTCATCATCAGTTTTACTTCACACTAATTGCCAAAAAACAAGTCTTAACTGAAAATTTCTTTACATGATAACACACAGGGTAAGTGCAATTTGTCTATTAATTGTAGCAAACATAACAAAAATGTTTATCTATTGCAGGTAACAAACAAAAACACTCTAATAGGGCTTAACTTAAGCTATACTTGACATAGAGTGCCAAATCTCTAAGCACTCCTTATGTCTGCAAATACAGTTTTCTAAGCTTTACTTACCCATCAGATCCAATAACACTTCAATTACAAAGTTAAATTTACAAACACATTGTATGAAGGCAGATCATAGCCACTCAAATTAATCTGTTCACTGTTGACATTCTTGAAACGAAAAACTGTTAATTAACCTTATAGCATAGAAAAATGAACCTATGACTTAAAGTACTTTAAAGAGTTGCTTTTTCTTCCTAATGGTATTTAAACATTCTCCTATAATCAGAATTGTGTGTGTGGAAAATATATATATATATGTGTTTGTGTATGTATGTATATGTGTTTGTGTATGTATATGTGTGTGTTTGTGTATGTATGTGTGTGTGTTTGTGTATGTATATAATGAGGATTAATACAAATAATATTTGTCACTTAGCTGATTGATGTTATATCAGCAGCTTGATTCCAGAGTTTTGTAAAAAAAACATTTTGATTTCAGCAGTTCACTACAGATTTTCTCATTTTCATTATCTTTATACCAAATTAAATAATAATTTATGACCTAGTTATTGGTGATGAGTTTTTTTTTTTGTTTTGTTCTTTTTGTTTTTTTTCCTCTTTTTTACGTGTGTTTGTATGTGTGCGTATTTGTTGAATGTTGTGGTTATTTCCCCTTTTTATCTTACACTCTCACCAATTCTTTTTCCTTCATTTTTTTCTTTCAGTTCTGAGTGTCAAAGATGATGTAACAATGTCACTTCCAGTATCACAGACAGAACTTTAGGGTAATTTGTTTTCTCAAATGTTCTGGGATTTTCTTAAGTTAGGGTTATTTGGGAAATATAGGTGTATACTATTTATTATTTAAACAAATGCTTAAATGGCAAAGTAAATGTTTCTTTATATGTCTTGTCCATTATTTAATTTTTGTTATTTAGTAGTCAATAGTCTGTTTTTTTTTACCCATATGTATATTTTCTAAGATAATGAATTTTTATTTATCAATTAGACAGATTTTTATCACTTTAAACATTATTTTTAGTGGATACTCATATTTAAATAGATACTTCATTTGTTTATTAAACAGAATATTTTATTTACTTTTGTCTATCAGCCTGAATATTTGAGAAATCTTATTAAAGGAAAATGTGCTATATATATATATATATATATATATAATCTTTCCCCACTTTCTCAATATGAAATCACTATTCTTAATTTTTAAACCTGGAATGGATTTTTCTGTTTACATTTGGTTTACAGGTCTGAAGATTTGAAGTCATTTTTTTATTGACTTCAATGAAATAAATATCACCTATGGGTTTTTTTGTTTTTTTTTTTTAAGTGTTTTTCATTTTACATATATATGATAAACACATATATTGACAGAAGAAACTTTTCTATAAAACTTTTTATTATCTCCTTTATCTTATGCTGTGGAAATGACAAAGGTAAATTCAAATTGCTTCTGTTCTTGAACCCTATTTATAATAATAATAATAAAGTTCTCTTATCCTCCACTGGTTTTACACACCTGCTGCTTTTGTGGTCACAGCTGTTGAATGAATGATGTTATCTAGCCAAAATGTTATGAGGTCAGGTCAAAAATTAAAAATCTACTGAGGAAAAGATTCTAACCCATTAATGCCCACCATAAAATCTGATATTACTTATAAAACTTAAAATAATAAAAGTACTGTATTAAATATCAGTTTCTAAAAACATCTGCTATTATAAGATTATAGAAAAATATGGTATTAAAAGTAAAACTTGTTTCTTAATTAAAAAGAAAAGAAAAAAGAGGGCAGGTATTAATGGATTAAGTTATTTCCAAGCACAAAAATTCAAATGTTAAAAAGAGTTTAAAATAGGTAAATATATACAAACTCACTTGTAAGGATCTTTCAGTTCCTCTGTGACAAAGTTCAAGAAATTCCTGAAACAAAAACAACTTTCATTTTTATACTTAAAAAAAAAAATAAATAAAAAAAAAAAATAGTATTTATGTAAAAAAAGGAATCATCATGTTATATTTCTGCCTAGTAACTAATTTTCATCAAGTTACAATGTTTTAATAAATGCCTTATAGGTAGAGAATTTATCTAGAGACTTACTCTAAAATTTTTTACTTTTGATGCATTGACTGTTTAAAAGATATGATTAAAAAGGTTGAAATTGTTTCCTTTACTAGTATCAAAGATTCAGTAAGTATATTGTTTGACTTCTGAATGGGTTGTAATTAGTTAAGTTAAAAATTGAATATTTGACTCCCCACATTTTCAACAGGGTAAAGTATGTTAATTAATATAGGGGTAACATCTTTCACATGCCTGGGTGAGTGTTTTGTCCAACCACTCACTCAACGACCTGTTCTGTCAAAAAGGAGATTGAATAATAGAAAATCAATCCACTGGACTATATCATTATTTACAGAAATTAAATATGTAATAAATATAATAAGGCAAAAATAAGAAAAGGTGAATGCAAAAAATCTTGAATATAAAAATTGTTATTTTCATCTTGACACTAATTACTATACAATTTTATAATAAAAGAAAAAAACATTTTAAAACTACATTCATATATGAACCTCATGAGACATGTTACCAGAACAACATAAAACATGATCTAACTTCTTTATATTTTTAAAATTTTGATAACTTAATTTATGGCCATGAAACTACTTAATTTAATGGCTCCACTAAAAAATAAAGTTAGTACTGTATTTTCCAGTTTACAAGACACTATGGCTTGGAAGATACACCCTGATATTGGAAAGAAATTTCTAAGAAAAAAAAGTAATTCTCAATGCAACAAAACATTCACCATGCGTCCTTCACATACTAGCACCATGTATTGTTTATATTAATCACTCGTCCGACTTTGTTTGTATAGCAATAACATAGTAGTCAAGAGCAGAAAAGCTCCCGCCACTGCTAGTAAACAGAGCATGTTTAAGCTTGTGGCTTGGCTCCAGGAAGGTTTATAGTCTTGGAAATACTTGTAACAGCTAAGTACTGAGGTTATATCATATAAAAGCCTGAATTAGATAGTGTAATGACTCAACATACAAATCCATGTCCCTATCAGTCAAACCAATTAGGTGACCGTCCAAGCTTACTTGAGCCTGGGCGTTGCCTTACATTCATCTTGGAAGATGCTCACATATTTTTCAGGAAAAAAGTGCATCTTGTAATCCAGAAAATACAGTAGCTATGCCTCTTGGTTGTAGCTCCTGCACTTATCAATTTGATATGTCCTACTGGCTGGAAACAAGTTCTTTACAAATTATGGCTTTCAAATATCAAATCTCAAATTCTCTCTTTGTAGTTAAATGGATTTTAAATGCCATGTCAGGTTTGGTGCTTTTGCTTGATAAATGCAAAAAATCTACAATGTTATTAGTCTTGACCTGTTAACTCAGCTTCAGTCACTTCCCTCTCACCATAACAGAGCTTCCCTGTGCATTTTCTATAAATATTTTCATGATAATTGTTCTGATGAACTTTCTTTCCTTTTTATTTTTATTCCCCACCCCTGACAGACAAAATTGTACATATGGGAACTAATTATGACTACATAGAGACATTAAGGTATTATGGTGGCTGTAGTAAGAATGGTCAGTAAGAATGTGTTTGTGGTATGTTTGAGTCAGTAATTGTGGCTTGTCAAGTTTAAGATAAGAGATTGAAAACCAGCCTTCTTCTATCCCTGCTTTTGGCTTTGTCACATTTTGTGTTTTTCAAAATAAATATTACTTTCCTCTTTGACACCTAGACTTTATGAATTTAAGCACAATACTAGATTGGCAGCAAAATCTCATCCTTTTACAGTTTAAATGGCTGCTAGATGTAACCATAAGTTCTATGCTAACAGTTTCTTCTTACGGAACTCTCTTCTGACTTCTTGCTTTCCAGTCAACTTTGATCTTCAAAAATGTAAATTCACTGTCAACTATTATCTTCTATTTTCTTAATTCCTGTTCTTTTATTATTCTCTCTTATATTCTCTCACACTCAGTAACCACCCCTCCCCTTGCATCTGAGGACTTTATTGTCTTGCTTGGGGTGAAATTGATTAAAAAATAAAAAACATAAATTCATGTCAAGTGACTATTGAAATTGAAATAATTACATTTATTTCATGGTTTTTATTCTAATAGCAATCTAATTTACATGCCAAATGCAACTAACAAAATCACAATTTTAAAAATAAGTACTTTTCCTTTTAAAAATATTGTCTGAACTTTTTTTTTGCTCATAAAAGAGAAAAAATTAAATGAAACTAATTTTTATAAAATTATTTACATTATAGATAACTAATTGTAATATTTGCTGTTTCCCTACAAAGAAATTTTTGGCATTCATCAATTGAGCAACCAGCACCTCTTTTAATTGACATTTTATAAAATCTTTCTCTTAAAACAATTTTTCAGGAAAATTGTTTTCTCAAATCCTGTAGCTGTTATTGCTCTTTCCAGTATTAATGGGGATTTCCTTCTTAATCTTTTCTTTGAAGTAGTGTGGAACATCAACATCTTGATTATGTCATCATTTTCTCTTCAAGTTAATGCTATCCATTTTAGTTGTTGTTGCAGTTGATGGTCTTCAAGTGATATGGTTTCTGTTATTTGCTACAGTTCTGTTTGTGATTCTATAGTGTCAGTCCATGAGGGTCATACATGCTTCACACACTCAAAGCCGTTTTTAACCATTGATTTCAGAATATGGTTGTATATCTCTGACTCAGATTGAGTGATTTTTTTTTGATTTTTTTTTTTTTTTTTATACTGCTTATCAACCCTTTGCCTATTATTTAAAGCCAAAAAAGATTTTTAGACTCTAAGAATTTTTTTTTTTTTTTAACAAATGTTTTTCTGATACAAATCCTACTAATTAATTACCCTGTACCAAGTACGATAAGAGGTAAATTCATACCTTTCTCAAGGATATTTGTGTATAAATGAATATAAACCCAACTGGAATTGGAACTTTACTTTTCAACTTTCAATTCCATTAAACTACCCACACATCTAAGCTTACAGTGCCGAGTATTCCCAAACAGTCAACCATCTAGGTACTGATTACTAATTAACCCATAGCTAGTGGGAGAAGAGGTGGATTCATATCTTTCCCAAGGGTATTTGTGTGTAAATATAATGTGCTCAAGAGGAATTGGAACTCTGCTCTCCAATAACAATTTTGAGCCATTTTCCATTGCACCATCAGCTCATCCAAGCTTACAGCACCTGTTATTCACAAGTGGTCACCCATCTAAGTACTGACCAGGCTTGACATTGCTTAACTTCAGTGATCATACAGGAACAATTTTTTCAACATGATGTGCCCATAAGCCTTGACATTACTTGCTAAACAACTTTATCATAGATATTGAAAAGAATAAGAATTAAGCCAATATTAATTTGTAGTTCTCCAAAGACATTTAAATTAACGTCATTTTGAGGTGGTTTCCCTGGTGAACTTATTTCTTTCTTCCATTAAATATAATCCCATTCAGAAAAAAACATATTTAATACTCAGTGAAATGGAAAACTTTGTCATTCAATGACATTTTACAGTTGTATCTTCAAAAACTTTATTACATTTTATATCAGATCTGAAGAAAGGTGATAGGTCAAATTTGCTAAACCACTATAGTTAGAAATATCTTCTTTAATGCACAGTCTAAGACAACACGGCAGATAAAGTTCGTTGTTCCACTACCACCTTATTTTCAAGATTCTCATAAAATTTTTTAACCTATAAGTAACACCATATTCTCCTTTTTATTAAAAATATTTTAGACTATTTTTACTAAAGTACACTCAATACAAGGCTCAAAAGCCACTCAAGCTACAGGATTACTATTGAAATGGTTATGATGACCTTTGAGTTGAAGAGGTTAAGATTGTAGTGTTGAGGGAAGTGTCCACACAGGGCTTCTGCTCCACAATTTTAGCAGTTCTTGAGAAAAAGCTGTTTGAGTGGAATTTCCTCCTTATAATTGGAATATGGAAGAAATGAGGATGATTCAGTTCCATGAATGTTGCATGGCAAGTCCTAGCTGTAAAGGTCTGAACTGGTAGAACTAAAGACTGGAGTTTATCTGAACATTTGCCATAGAAATAGCAATGGAGTAGTGATAGCATTACAACATTGTACCTGTAGGAAAGAGGCTGCAGAAAAGATCTTAGAAAACAACTCACTCAACATAGTAATTCTAGTGTCTCTGTATTGGGTAATGATTAGTAACCGATTCTGTTGGATCTTTACTATAGATTAGTTACTTTGATCCTCACTGGTTGCCCTATTTTTGTAGTCTTGTACCAAACTAAACTAAGCTTAGCATATAATACAATTATTATCATCATTATTATCAGGGTTCTACTTAAATAGACTGATTCACTTGTTTTTAAAAAAAAAAAAAAAAAAAAGAAGAGAGAACTTTTCTGGAAAGAATTTTTGTAGATTAGCATTCATTTGTAAATTAGCATTCATTAGACTTTTTTCAAAGTACAACATTTGTAAGGATAAAACTATTGATTTATCATTTTAGGAGGTGGTTCCTGATCATAACATTGATACAGTGTAAAATCAATCCCTGATTGTTTAAACAGTTGTCTGAACTTAGTTTATTGTTTGGGACTGTGCTTACCCCATTGTATTTTTTCAATTCTTTGAATTATTTAAACTTTAAGGTGGATATTTCAAGGAAGTAAGTGGTGACACTCTGTTTCACACTTCAATGCAATCTTCAGACCATATGTGTTGTGTTTTGACTCGGCTATTTATATATGATCAATGGTGCTTTATTCTATTATCTTGATGGTTATTGGGCAGGTGGTAACGACTATGTTTCAAATTATTGTAGACACTATTGAATAGAGATAATTGTGGATCAGGATGGAATTATTTAACTTTTTACTCATTATTATTGATTACCATTATTATATTTACTTGTTTATGTGTTCATTTATAGTTTGTTAATTTGTTTATTAGTTACTGGTTTTATTTTTTTATTTTTTTTCAGAAGTTGGTTGTTTTATTTGTTTAATTTAAAGTATTAGCTTTGTATAAACATAATATCTTCATTAGATCTAGTGTTTATATTTGCATTTTTCATGGTCAGATTTTACAAGGTATTCATTTTTGGTTTTTTGATTTTTAAGTAATGTAGTAAAAATTTGTTTTAGTATTTGCATTTTGAAATGAGTTCTGATCATTGATTTAACAATTTGTATTAGTCTGGGAAGGTGATTATAGATATTTTCTCCTCCAAAATTTACAATTTTTTAATTTATTGTTGTAAGCTGATTTAATTTTCCTTATTTTCCATAATATTTGTTGCATAATTTGTTTTTTGTTTTTTTATTTTCCTATATATGTTTAGAAACCATTGTGCTGTTCAAGTATTTACTATTTGTAAAGGACATTTTGTATGCATAATTTCTCAGTTTCAGGGTCCTTCATTTACTCGTATATATATTTTTTCTTCATTATTTGCTGATTTGACAGTGGCTTGGTATATTATATTGTTTTGAAAGCAATTGCAATTTAAGGGACAATTTTCCCTTGCTCTGCAGCTATTGATTGGTTTGGTTTGTGCGAGTGGTTTGTTGGTGATTTTTCTGTTGTGCATTTTTATTATTTGAGTCATGTTCTTAGTGCAACTGTAGCTGATTTTTACTGTTTCTGTTGAATAGCTTGTGGAGAGTGGTTGTATTTAAGTTTAATGAATATTTTTCCTACATTTATTTTTACATTTTTGTTGTACGATGGGTTGAACCAGATGATGTTTCTTTTCCTATTGGCTTTTTCGTATTGTGTATGTAAGTGTTGTTGAAAATATACCATCATTTAGGTTTCTTTCATAATCTTTTTTGGCTTTGTTGAAAATGGTTTCATCAGAAGAATTTTCAGATAAGCTGCAGATTGTGGAATTTGCTTGATTATTGTTGACGGGTGGTTGGAAGATGTGAGGGTTTCCTATATGACTGATATGTACCTTTTCATAGGCTTGAGTGTGACATCAAGGAAATCTACTTCCTTTAGGTTTGTTTTTATATCTATGCTTAATCCCTTATTTTTGGAAAATTTGTACGATTATTTTTGTGGTTTTGTCCGTTTTTTTTTTTTTTTTTTTTTTTATCTGTTACAGTCTCTTAAGATTATGAAGTCATCGTCCATGATTATGAGGCCTGCATCATTTTATCAGTTATTTTACTTAGTTCATATAGTAACAGTATACCAATAAGCTTGCAGGTTTTTGCACCATTAAAACTTCCCATTGTAACATCAAACATTCCTTTCTTTACCTATGCATCTTCATTGTCAAATACTAGTGATTTCCGGCAGTGTTCAATGATTTTTACTTAGTTTATGCTTATTTTTATTTGTTCTTGAGCTAAGGAGATAGTCTTATCTAACATTGATTCTGTCATAGAAGAGTAGAAATCTTTTATATGACAATTATGTTTGTTTTTTAGGTTTCAGAACCAGTCTATAGTAATTGTGTTTTTCATGAGTTTATTCCTAACTTAGCTCTTTCTAGTATTATTTTTACCTATTTCACTTTTAGTTGGGTTTATCCCAAAAAAGAAGTTTCAGGAATGCTTCCATGAATGAAAACAACGCTGGATAAAGTGTGTGGCTTCTGAAGGAGACAACTTTAAAAGAGATTAAAGGCCAAATTGCTATGTGTTGTAGTTTTCTTTATATGGCACTCATCCCAATACTTTTTGACCAGATTTTGTACATGGTGTTTTATGGTTCTTTGTAGCTCTATTCACCACCCCCGCCCAAACTGCTTATCATTTAGATTGAGTAATTTTTTTAAAATTCTTAATGAATAATAGGATTAAAATAATGGGAAAAAAAACAAAAGCAAATAGATTTATCTGAAAACGCAATATTTTTTGTTTATAACTTTTATAAACTTTTCAAGTTTTGGATTTAAGTTTTCTTGCTGCAAGAGTTATTGGTTTCAGATTATTTTTTGTTTTCTTGCTGATGTGAATTTGTAGTTACTGGATTGAAATTCTGTTCTTTTAGCTAACAATTGCTCTACAGGCTAGAATTCAAATGCATTTTATTTTTTACATGCTGTAATATTAATACAAAGACATTCACATATTCAGTCTCTAGGTGAATCCAAGTTGCACATACTGATGCTAAAATGTACATGCAACTCACTCAAATAATTGCAATTCTCCTCCTCTCACACTAACTGATCACATGGTAACCAGTAAGTTCTCAGGATTTCATTTATTGTTCTATTTACCAAAATCCTTCCTGAGAAACAGTTCCAGTCTTTCATACTGCAAAGGAAATCCCCAATTGCCTTAGTTCAGGAAATGGCATGTTTTTCAGGACATGTACATGTCTGTATGAAGTGAATACCCACAACTACCCTCATGCTCTACTCTCATTTGAACCCACACTTTTCATGACTATACCATCATCTTCTCCCCTACCATTTACTCCTTACTTATTCTTCTAACAGATATAGGAGATAAATATTTTTTGTATGCAGAGAACCATTGTAAATCATTGCTTTCTTAGAATTGGATGCCCATTTTATTCAGTATTGTTTTATATCTTTAATGTACATGCTAGATGTTTGGTAAGGAATATAATTTGAGTGGAGAAATCTATCTGTTTATATATACAATTTATTAGGATAGGTGTGAGACGTGATAGGGGTGAATAAACATCTTGTATGTCCATAAAACTGTTCATTAGTTTCTAATGAAAATTGTCTTTTTCAAACAAACCTTCCCAGGTTAAAAATAAAATGTAAAATTTTTATAAATATACTTGTCCCCAGGCTTGAACTTGAGTTCAAGGCTTGAAAAATCAATGTTTTTGCAAAATGAGGTGCCAATATAAGTATTTTTAAACTTCAGTGATTTAATGAGCTAGGTTATAAAAAATTCTCATATTTCCACATATGAACAATATTTATTAAATAAAATGTATATTAGGAAAATATGATGGTGTGTATTAATCAGATTTATAAACACAAAATAAGAGAATAAATTATTACAGGGATTTAGAAAGTTTGTTAAATGGAATAAATTTTGTATGACACCAATAAAAGAATGATCTGACTGGACAGTTTTTACACCCTTAGATGGTTCAGCCATTATGTGCCAAGAGTGTAGGAACCAGGAACACTTGAATAGATCTCCTATGCTCCAAAGATTACTTTTTGTTAAGTGGTGAGAATTCCATATACTGCTGTTCTAAATATTCAATAAAATATGAACTTGAAAGATAACTAGAGTTGTTTTGATTCTTATGATGTTACAGTTGACCATGTAATAAATGATATGAAAATAGCACATACCATCCTGAATATGAAAACAATCCAGAGTAGAATGATAATGCTATATGTCCAATGTCTCTGTTTGTATTTTCAAAAGGTTGTTTCCAATTTTTACTTTTTCCTAAATAAAAAGATAGAAATTGATTGGTAAATTATTTATTCATAATGAACAACAACAACAAAATACACACACATACACACACACACACAGGCCAAGACATTACAATTATGTATATAAGGCATTAGTCCACCCTGTTCCAGCAAAAATGTTCTTACCTAATCAGGTATGGATGACAAGATCTCGAAAGAATTCCTCTAAGATCTGCTGCCAGAAAGTTAGCAGCAAGTACTTTAACTGCTCTGTGACATGATTGCAGATTCTATAGAATAAACTTGGTTATTCCAACTTATCTAATTAAGTGCACAATGGGATAGAGATTGAAGGAATTTCTGGGATGAGTTATCATTATTTACATGCAATCTTTGTTATTATCACAATGGCCGAAACATTGTGATAATAATAACAAAGATGCAGACAATAGTCTGCACATAAATAGAGAGATTGAATGGGGTAGGGTAGTAGGATGCATTGTCCTAAAAGGTGCCACTAAGATTAAAAACAACTTGGCAAGAGTATTTAGTCTTCAATGACATAAGTGATATGAGACAAAGTACTTCTAACATGTATGATACCATCTACATCCTGCAAGGGAAAACAAAACTTATCAGACTGAGCAACCTTCTTCTAGTGATACAAATTCAGTTTCAATGCTTATGTGCCAACTAATTGCACATTCATTGGTTGACATCTCTACTTGGCACATCCAGATATGGGCATTTCTGCAACTTCTCTAGATCTGGGTTTTTGTCAACCATCTCGTGTCAATAAAAGCAACAGGAAAACCATGAGTTTGCTTTTGGCAAGACTTGCTTTGCTGTCGTCAGAGATGCAGTCTTGTAAAGACATTCCCTTGGTGCATTTTGTTATGGAAGTTATGTGCCGTCCAATGTGTTGTGGTTTTTGAGGCAGTGGCTTCATTTGTCTTCTTTTTTCTTTTCTATTTTTTGCTTCCTCCTGTCTCCCTCCCTTCTTTGCCTGTTCCATCATATATTAAATATTTCCACCAGCCTCAACACACCTTTGTCTTATTTTTCTACAATTCATGCATCAATAAATTTTGGCTGTGTAATGCTTTGTCAACAGTTGGTAATTTTTTCGTTCTTAGATCGTTGACAAAATGTCACCATTTTAAAATGGTTTTTGTGAAATGCTTTGACAATCTACTGGTCATAACAATTTAGTTTTGTCATAGTTACTTAAATCTTGCTTCTTACTCATAACTTTGGTATTCAATACATTAAAATGAAACACTAGACTTTCCTGCTTATATATCTCTAACCCTATGATGCACAGTTGATTTATGACAGTAACTGTCATTGTTATCACGTCACAGCTCAGCATGTATGTTATTTCATATATATATATATATATATATATATATATATATGTCGATCCATTGGTATATATGATCCACAGAGAGCTTGATGGATTTATTATAACAGAGCATATTTTTTTTTTTTTTTTTTTTTTTTTTTTTATAGCAAAAAAAACAAAAATTACCTCAACATGGGATAGTCAATTTCTAGCCGATCTGTACGCGGCTTTTATCAGCTCCTAAAAATTAAAAGGCTTCTATAATTTATGAATTTATGCATATAGCTGCCATAGTGTAATTTGCCTAGAAAGCACATTTTCATAGACTTTTAATATTTTTTGTAGCATTCTACAAAGTGGGAAAATAAAGCCTGCAGTAAAAGTTAGTGAAATTCCCCACCAACCACTACAACAAATGATGTAAAACCAAATACCAAACAAATCATCTACTGTCAGCTATTAATGCACAACCATTTTTCAGTAATATCATTGAAATTGTCTTTGTAGAAGGGCATGTAGCAAGGGGTATCAAGCTTGCTCCATGAATAAATTGATCCTAAAAGCATCTTCAACATAGTGTGCAAGGACACATCAACTATCTACAATGTCAAAAATACCAGAGACATAGGCTATAGTACCCAGAGGAAACCAGACAATGGTTGGATCAACAAGAAATGGAGTTGGGACTTCATGCATAAGATAGCTGCCAAGTTAAAAATGAACTCCAAGTTTGTCGGAATGGTCATGCATAACAACCTGGATTTTACACAGCAGAATGCCAAGATACAAGAATGGTTCCAAAAAGTGCTCAAGGACCTCAAGAATTTATGAGTCTACAATTTTCTGTCAAGGAAATTTTCACATTGGATGCTGTTCAAACTACCAAAACAGATTCAGCAGTTGATATCAAGGGCAGTGTTATGGCCTCTGACGAGGAAAATGATACCTACATTCTTGTACAAGCATGAAAACGAAATAGTGACTGAGGCCTACTACCTAAAGTTTTGCTATCACTCAAAGTTATATGTGAACCCAGGATGGTGCTACCAAATAATGGGCATCACATTGCATAAATTATTTTGATATTATGGATTGGTTAATTAATTGAATAAGCAAGTTTTGGTGGTTGCAGCAATTTGCAAGTTTTGCTTCCTCACATTTTACATGTTTTGATCAAATTTGGATAAAGGCTTGTGTGACACTGTGCATTTAGCAATTCAAAAAGACTGACTTGAAATATCTCTGAATCATTTGTATGACCTATATTTAATATTGCAAAGAAGATATTTTTATTTATCAACAAATATGATGCAAAATATAATAATCATTTGATATTTTAAAAATCAAATGTCAAGCTAAGTCATGATCAAAGAAAAAATTATCTTACCTGCAATTAACATATATAATCCTGTAAAGATGATGATGAGCAGTGCAAAGATTTTTGTGGCTGTAAATATACTCTGTACACCGGCAGCCCATTTCACATTGGAACAATTCACAAACACAATGAACACTGTAAAATAGACAAAAATAGAATGGCAAAATTAGCTTTAATTAAAAATAATTGCAGTGTTAGTTGACAATGTGATTACCAGATGGTCATACAAAATAGCAATGCTAAATATTCATTTTCCTTACACACTTTAAATGGATGCCAATAATTCAATCCATTAAAATAAGTCATGTATAAGATAATTGTCAGTTCAAAAATTTCTTTTTGAACTACCAATTATATCTTATACATATGGCAGTGGGAAAGTGACTGAAGCCAAGATGTTATCAGTCCTGACCTGGCGTTTCTGCTTTAGTTACTTTCCCACTACCATGACGTGGCTTTATTGTGCCTTTGCGTTCTGATGACCTTTCCTCTTTGGTACCTTGACTTCATGAATTTAAGTGTAGGGCTAGGTTGGCAGCTAGGTCTCATCATTTTACTGTTGAAATTACTATATTTAACCATAAGTTTTATGTTAACAATTTTTTTCTCTTACTCTTCTTGCTTGTGGAATTTTGTTCCAGCTTCTTGCTTTCCTGTAAACTATAATCTTCAAAAATTGTCATCTATCTTTTTGAATTCTTTTATTGCCCTCACCCCTACTTTCTTTAGCTATTAGTAAGCCTTTGCATCTTAGTGGCTTTTTGCCTTGTTTGAGGTGAAAAAAAGATGTTTTATCCTACCTCTGAGCATTAATTTAAATGCTGTTCTCATTCAAAATGTTTTTTCATCACTATCCACATGTTTTAAAACTAACAAACATGATAACGATTTTAGATATTGAAATAAAATTAAAATTACAATTATCATTGCTTTTCATATAAAAGTAAATAAGTTGACAAACTTAGATTTTCAGTGTGAAAAGGACAGTTTTAACATTGAAACTGCTATTATTTTAACTACCTTCATTCCTCGGCAATGTTATTGTTTTAAAAAGCGATGATTAGATTTGTAATTTCAAAAGAAATATTGAGTTTTCTATAAAGTACAAAAATCATTTTGACTTCATAAACCATGGAATCATTGGAGATTAAATTAGTTTGTATACCTATGTATATTGCAGACAAACAAATACATTCTAGAAGGTAAATTAGAATGTAGGAGGGGGTAACTTCAGTAGAAACGGATAAAAGAAAAAGTGGTGCTGACCTCCCAATTTAGCAGAGGTCAATTTTGGATTAAAATAGCTTTTCTACTCAAATAAAATAACTTAAGCTTAGAAAGAAATACTTGATTTTTTTCTCTCTTTTGTAAAATGTGCAAGCTGCAAAACGGTTTCAGAAAAACATTAAAAAATATAAGAATTAATAAAATTATTTCTGCAGTTTCAAATGCCAAAAAATAGCCTAAACTTGAAGAAACTACCAGTGAAGCATTCTTGCTCCAAAAAATGATGCAGTCAAAGAAATAAGCTCAAAGATATTGCAAAAGATTCCTACAGAGGTTCAGTTGTATAAATTAACTAATACAGTTCCAGATGCTTTAATTAAGATCTTTAACTATCTAAACCTATTGCCCCCACCCCTTACAGGCTTCAACTAAAATTTGAGCAATGGAAATTGCCTAGCTCTCAAACAACTTCACCCACATATAATCACGACAACTCTCTTAATGGACATAGGGAAAAACGAGGATGAGTTCACACCCAGAATCCCCTAATTCCCATTTTAATTTAAGTGATGCTCAGCTTTACACATCAAAATAAGGCACAACAGTCTCAAGAATATATATCAGTTGTTCTTTGACTAGATCCTAAAAAAAAATCTTTCCATACTAACACCTAATGGAAAAAGCATTAATATTGTGTACAAAGAAGTCCTATTGAACTAAAGGATTTCATCAGGTTTTGTTTTGGTCATCAGAATACTTTTTTCACTAACAGCTATGTATTTTTTATGTAAATCTGTTTTTTTTTATTATTATTATTATTATTATCTATAGCATTGTATAAGAAGAAATAACTTAAAATATGTCATGTGTTCATATTCAAAGTTATTTTATTTTTTTGCCAGTAACTTTGCTAGTAACTTTGCTAGTAGATGTACTTTTTTTGGTAACTTTGCTAGTAGATGTACTTTTGCCAGGTAACTTTGCTAGTAGATGTACTTTTGCCAGGTAACTTTGCTAGTAGATGTACTTTTGCCAGGTAACTTTGCTAGTAGATGTACTTTTGCCTAGTAGGTAACTTTGCTAGTAGATGTACTTTTGCCAGGTAACTTTGCTAGTAGATGTACTTTTGCCAGGTAACTTTGCTAGTAGATGTACTTTTGCCAGGTAACTTTGCTAGTAGATGTACTTTTTGCCAGGTAACTTTGCTAGTAGATGTACTTTTGCCAGGTAACTTTGCTAGTAGATGTACTTTTGCCAGGTAACTTTGCTAGTAGATGTACTTTTGCCAGGTAACTTTGCTAGTAGATGTACTTTTGCCAGGTAACTTTGCTAGTAGATGTACTTTTGCCAGGTAACTTTGCTAGTAGATGTACTTCTCAAGATCTGATTAAAAGACCAAACTCTAGAATTTTCTGGAAGGGGTTCTTCCACAAGACAAAAACTTTTCAGTACTATGTGGGCATAGAAATCAATGCCACATGGGGACTGTCACTTTCATGCCTTAAGCAAGCATCAGACTATGTACTACCAATCTTTGTGTGTGTATATATATATATATATATATATATATATATATATATATATATATATCTGAAGGCTTATAAGAAGTAAAGAAAGAGAGAAACTAATTTTACCCAATCTTTTGTTTAGAGCTAATGTTTAAGATTATTCATAATCCTGAAACCTGAAATTGTTTATTTTAATTATTTATTTTGTATACTTTCATCAGTTCTAAAGTTTGGTATTTGAATAAAGTTTATTAAATTTAGGTTATGGGATATTAATTATTGTCTTTTGAGACATTATATGATTGTAAATAGCAAAATAAGAATTCATTTTCATGTCTGCAATTGAAAATGAGTTCTGATCTCTTTTGGAGTTTATCTTGTTCTGGAAAGGTGATTATCACTATTTTCTTCTACAAGCAAAGGTTGCATTGTTTGGCAGTGTTGCACTGAGCTGGTGCTGGTTTTCTTATTTGGCTTGTTATCAAAACATTCCAGCACTGCTGAGCAGACCCTGAATTTTCACCTATTGCAATGAATCAGTGTTTTGCCAAAGATGCCCCCATATGTTGAATGTCTATCGGGACTCACCCCTAGAACTCAAGTTGAACTTATATATAAGATCTATCACTAAAGATGCTGGAAAAATGGTTGGTTTCTTGTACCACTCCAGCAAGTACCTTACTACTCCTGCTATCCTCTACCTTTATAAAAGCCAGATCAGACTGAAAATGGAATACTGGACTGGAGCTGTCCGGTCTTCATTTTCTAATTTTGTTCAAAAGCATCTGTGTGGTCTTGTGAGTGATAAATTATTTTCCACCCTACAACCCATTTCCCCACAGACAAAAAGTTGCAAGCCTCTTATTCCTCTATTGCTATTTCCATGGAAAATGTTCTGAAGAACTACATTCCTTAATTCCACCAACTCTAACCTTCACAACTAAGATCCACCATGCCACCTACACTGAGACAAATCATCTTTTCCTCCGTATTCTGTTAGTAACAGGGAAGATACACTCAAACAGCTACATTGTGGAACCAACTCCTAAAAGGTTGCTTTCCTAAACACTATAATCTTGACCTCAAGTTCAGAGTTAATAGTTATCTTTCTCACATATCCTCATAAACTGTACTTCTTATTCTTACCACTCATATAACAACCTCCTCCAGTAACCCTCTACCTAGAGTGGCTCTTGAGGCTTGGGTAAACAATAGTAAAAAAAGAATAATAAATAAATAAAAATTATATATATATTGAAGGTAAGAGAATCAGGAGAAACAGTAACCGAATAAAAAAAGTTTATGTGAATGGATGGCAGTTCAAGGACAAAGAGCCACTGGATGAACTTCATGGCTGTTATAGAGGTTGGGTCCTTCATGGAAACAGTCAACTATCAACAGCAAGAAGCGAGAAGTAATTTTTTGGAATAGTATTGTAGGAAGTAAAATTATAGATCAGTGTAGAGTTAAATGTAGGAAATTATTGAAATTTCTTGGCCAAGAATTTTTTTTTTTTTTTTTTTTTAAAGTGATACAGATCAGAACCAATAAGGTTTAAGCTAAAGAGTAAATTACTGCAAGAAAGTGCTCGTTCACATATTGTCCACTTTGACAGAAAAGGTTTCAAAGACACCAAATTAATGGAATAGCTGTTAACTTCTCCAGATATTAATCCAATAGAAAACTTGTGACTCATCATTAAAATAGACATACAAATTGTCCTTTGCATAATGAATCCTACCACATCAAAAAGATTTATCAATATTTTTATTGACATTATAGGCTGATACATTGCTCATATAAATATATCTTGAAAAATTATAGAATACATAAGGAAATAAGGCTTAGAGAATAAACGCTTAAAAGGGCACAAGCAAGTAAAGCAGCAAATGACTAACAACAAGTTTGAGCAAATGGATGGCAAAATAATTACCACAAAGACCTAAAGGGATTATAAAGGAGAAAGTGTTGCTGAAAGCAACAAAATATAGGAAGCTGTGGAGAACCATGATCACTATGCCTTGAAAGGATATGACAAAATGTTTTTCAGTCATTAGTTCTTTATCAATGTTTAAAATAGCAAAAAATTAAATTCATGCTTCAGAAGTTTTTAAATAAAAGTTGAACCATTAAGTGAAATCTCAAAAATCACAAAACAAAAAATCCTACCTAGAAATTGACCAGCTTTTGCTATTATTTAATAACAAGAATATATATACCTTTTGTAGGTTTAAAATAAATTAGAAGATAATGTCAAAAAAAGAAAAAAAAAAGCATATGAGAGTTATGTATACAGGAAAGCAGGCATAGTTGAATGTACTGCATGAATGGGTGTTAGCTTACCTATGCACTTTAAGAGATATGATAAGCAGGCAAAACCAAAAAAACAAAAAATACAAA